CTAAGAAACTCTTAGTTTTAGTTTTTTAATTTTAACCATTACAAGGACTTTGAATGTTTTTTTTTCTGGTATATTATATTTATATCGCAGACATCTTTTGATGACCCTTTTTGAGGTATTGCTCATGGAGTTATAACTGATTTACATGTTAGAACTATTATGATCGGACAAGATGATAATCTGACAAGATGATAATATGACAAGGTGATATTGAGAAAAATCTAGTCAAAAGTCACTGATGTGTTATTGGAATATGAGTGAAAGAGCAAAAAAGTAAATTCAGATCAATTTCAGATCAATTTGACCTGAAAAATGCAAGAAAAGTCACATTCGGGTGAAAAAATAAGCGAAATTTGAACTGAAAAATCTCCATTATAACAAACAAAAATTGATTTAAATTTGACATGAAAGTTACTTGAAATGAACATCAAGAATCTTTGTGTGTCAAATTTAAGGAAGTTTCATGTCAATTGACGTTTTTGCTCTTTTTAGGTGAAAATGACTTGAAAATTAATATCTGGAAAATGTTCCCGGTGAAATTTTACCGATAGGAAAGCATTCAAGTATGATTGATGTTGATTTTGTTTTTGTATTGGAACATTGTTCATGCTTATAACAGTTGTTTAAGGAAAATGTAAATAAACCATGATCAAAACGAAATAATTGCTGTAAACATATTTGTTTATGTTTTCTTTTATAACAATTAGGTTAGGTGGTCGGCTTTCTTGATGAACGCTGTGTTTACTATGTTCGCTCTTGAGTGTTCACCGTTACTAGAGGATACCGGACGTTCATAATCACTACACTTATATCATGAATAACATGATACACAAGGAAGGAAACAAGGAGAAGGACATCCGGTGACAATGATGTTTTCTGAATGACTCAAGTGCACTGCTAAGGAGTCATTTCTATTTTGCAAGTAATTTTGTCGTAATGTATTTTCATCTAGTTTTGGAAGGGGATCATCGCCATAACTTGTATTATTTACTTCGTTGAGAAGTGTGCATTTTCCATGCTATGTACATTTGTGTAGTTGCATCCGTTTACAAATATATTCATGTTCACATTTCATGCTAGTTTTACCGATCTCTTTTCCGTGTTTAAAAGTTTAGAATTCACTCCATCATGGTTTTAATGAAACACATTTTATGTAGATTTGAATCCGTTTTGAAACTAGTAACAATAAAAGTTTGAAACTGACAATTATGAATGAGCGCCCATGGTCGTCATAATGAGGAACCAAAATTATAGAATTTATTCTAGAATTTGTGTTCCTTATTATGACGACAATTTGCGCTTTAATCGCGAGCAAAGTTCTTTGGATAGATTTTTTCCCCCTTAACCGTAAGCAAACCCGGCTGTGACAGTACATTGTCGAAAATGCAGTCAAGAGTACGGTAAGTGTTGATTTGACAGAAGTTTAACTGTAAGTAGGGTAGTGAAAAAAAATCGTCATATAGTTTGACAATGTAGTAGCCATAACAAAACACTCCACTGTTCAAAATATTTGGTAACTTGCAACATGCGAACTTCCGATTCAAAATTTATAGATATGATTCTACACAATAATTAATTTAATACATCATATATATTGCTCAGTGTGATTAATTTTAGCAGGACACTGTAACCCGACCCTTGCCCAATGATGATAACTGCTGGATATACGTAATCAGACATTCGGACAGGGCACATGCCGTGGGTTCGATACAAATGTTTAATAAACATATGTAAAACTGATTTTGGTCACAGCACACATAAGCATACATCGTATTAGAAATTTGTATCGAGCGCCTGCATAGTGGTAGGGTAAAATGTTCACGTTAGGGAAATATTCTAAATTGACATTCATCTTCCGACCACAATCCTCATATTTTGAAAAAAACAATTAATCAAAACCTAACTTTTCTTGGGTTGCTAACATTTGACACAACCACAGCAGAGAGTTCGACAGACTAAACAACAAAGGCACGTACAATGCTATACCGTAGTGAGGCATCAGCAGAAGTGAGCGTCTTGAGATATCGGCCGTACTCGGCTATCAGTTGTCAGCAGTTAGCTATCACCAGTGCAGGCAGGGTGGTCGAAATCTGTTGATGTTGCATGGCGCCCGAATACTTGTAGACGGGTAGCGCTCGACCGTATAACGATAGTTTGGCAAGATAGTCGACCAACTGTGTGTACGGGGAACTAGATGTAACCTTGACGACCACGACTAGCAGCGCTAATGTGCTTATAAGTGTTCTGCAATACATGTGCTAGAAAAATATCACAGTCAATCAATTACGGCCAACAAAACCAGCAGGTAACACACTATAAACCATTGTGAGCTACAGACAGGACATGGATTAGTATTAGGCACAGGGCGGATAATAATTGTACATAAATTCGTAATTGTAGTTGCCAACAAAGGACTGTCACCGTTGCCCACTCAGGGCTGCTTACAGCTGCCCTAACGGAATTTCATACAGTTGCCCACACAGGACTACCGGAGTTTACAGTTACCAACAAAGGGTTGCCAGATTATACAGTTGTCAACACAGAACTATATGGGTATGTCACACAGGACCACATGGTTTTGTATCCGCCCACACAGGACATCATCCCGTCAATACACACAAGACTTCAGAAGCATCATTGACATATCATCATTAGTTGCTAGGTCGCAATGCTAGGTCGTAACCAATGACTTGCTGCCCTCAGACCAACATGGGTTAGAGCTGTGACCATATAAATAGCTATACATAACTATCGTACCCTAATTATGTTAAACCATAGCATAGTTACAAAATTCCATCATAAATCTATCAAAGTTCTGTCATTGCTTCTAAATGACGTACTATACTACTACTCATAAAATTAAATACAATATGTACTGAGCTAATACTTATTAAACTTGCTAAATCAATTTCTTAAGTTATTAATTAAGGTCAATTTTACTCGTTTAACACTCTGTATCAGACCTATACATGTAATTCGCCTATACATAACTGATATATACGTTGTATTCAAAGATATAAGACATACTTATTGGTCTTAACTATGATATATATACATACACTTCACATACAAACCCAACAGATTTCAGGGCATACAATTTAACGTATTGGATACTAGAATGCTATTGCACTTACCGCAAACTGTATTTTGCGCTTGAAAACACATTGCAAGCCACTGACAACTTTCACGTTAGAACAACGCAATGCTCTGTGTTTACTTGTATACAATGTATCCGTATCTACTTATTTACCTGTGTCGAACTAGGAGCCAGAAAATCCGTTATTATTACTAATATGATAAAAATGACAAAATTTATAAAACAAAGTAGAACCAGATTATATACTATATAGATTGAACTTATACTGAATCTATAGAAAAATGTTGTTGCTACTATAAACACATACTGAATATAAACCAAATAGGGTTGGGACTGTGATATGCCCCTCTGCTTTCAGAAACAAAAACACATTTGTTTCTCAAACATATATTACAACCATATCAGTCTGATATACAACATATGGTTGGGACTGTTACACTAGATTAATAATTAGATGCATATTTTCGCATTTTGAAATATATAAATACCCCAGTTCGGTAGAAATTAACACGTTGGAATCTTTAACATTTTCCCCCTGGCATGCTCATGTGAATGTATGCAATAATGGTACGATGTTTACGGAACGGCAATCCAGTCTTACCTGGTTGACTCGTCTCTCATCACTAGGTTAAAAATAAGTTGTTGGCAATGAAGTATAAAACCACACCGAGCGAAAAATTAAGGATATCATCGCGAAAATACATACATGCTTATATATGAACAGCACATTATAATATGTTATATAAGAGCGACGTTTAATATGCAAATGTTCTCACTTTTATTCCGTTTACATCATTCTTCGTTTTGAAATAAACAGTTATTCATAGATATATGTTTTTATTCTTTATGTTTGTTCTCTGCATGAATCTGCCAACTGAAAATAATTGCCATTGGACCATGACTACACTATGAATACAACGAATCTCGTGCAACCAGTCAGCTAATTTCACACACAATGACCACTGCATATTACTCCGCAAAGAACCGTTTCTGAGAAGAGTTATCTCCCTTTCCTAGTGATAACGAAGTTGCGAGAAATTATAATAAACATTACAAAAATCATAAATGGTGCACCATTGTTCTTCTATTTTATTATATATTTTGTATTTATATCATTTTCATCTTACTTATCTTACAAATAAGTAGAGGGTAAGGTAATTCTCCCCTTACATCCTCCGACAGAACGTATGATACAACCTGGCGATCACGATACATTTATACCCCAAGTGAAGCCCCCACAAAACGCATATATGTCACTGGTTCTCCCCACTGTTTTGTGGCAATGCTGCAGTTGTTAATTTCAAAAACGGATCAGGCCGCTGAAAATTATTCAACCGCTACATTAAGGTGGCTGGTCCAGAAAGTTCTGTTTGGTATGAATGTAGACTACTCGACAAACACACATATAATAACTTTATGGCCGACATTTGTAAGGGTACAAACATTTAAAAAAAATACACAGCACGTTACCTTCGCTAACGCGTTCCACAGGATATATAGATCAGCTACTGCTATTAATTTTCGCAATGTTTATGAAACAAAGTCCATGTTTAATGTTTCAACGGATTTATTTTAAAAAATATGTCACTAGTCCCACATCGCATGCGCACACAATTCAATAACGCATCTAGGAATAACAATATTACCTAAAAAGCTAATGCATGTGTTGCTACGGCGTTTATCAGACACAAATATAGTGCAACAAAATCAATACATTAGTTGTGTCAACATGTTTAACGAAATATATTAACTAATCAAATGTGCATATACTAAACCTTCCATAAAGTACTACTCGGCATCATTAATTTCCACGAGACATTACACTGTGTATCCTTGTTAATTAAATACGGATAGCGGCCGGTTACTCCCGTATTCAATTGACCCAGGATATTTATAGTATGTACTATGTTTAGCTATGCAAAAGGGACAACACCGACCAGGAAGTTCGTAAGCATTACAAATGAACATACGGACGTATGTTAACCAGAGAGATGTCTGGTATTAACTTACAAAAGCACAGTATATTTGTAACCTGCAGTGAGCTCAAGTTCTACCTGTTGATCGTACTACTGACAAGCCTATCAACGACAGGTACGTACATTGTTTGCTGTGTTGTGACTTCCCTAATAAATAACCCCGACTGACTGATAACTATCTTTCAAACATGTGTATAACTTGAGTGTATTGACAGTAAAACTAACTATAATGACGTATTTCGTAGCAAAAATATTCATATCTGTACACACAATAGGACGAAATGAGCTAGCATGCTGACTGTATGCTGAAAAATTTGGATTCCATAGACGGTTGGTTGTGGTCAGGTCATCATCAGGACTCTTTCGTTTTTTTGCTTGATTCACATGTCTAAATTAAAGTGTGTTGGTGTCTGAATGAATTACAGCTTCTACGTTCTGTGTGTGTTAATATCATTGTTTGATATGACATTCTGTGTTACAGTGTAACCATCGAAAAACGGACTTATTACATGCACAATTATAAATAAGTAATAACGACAGTATGATTGGCACATAATCTGAACAAACAAAATTAATTTGGATACGTATTACTTAAAAATATATACGAATACAGAAGTAATTACGACAGTGCAGACAATGTAATTCTCATTTGTCTGCACTGTCGTCACTACATGCACTTCCTTGCTTATATACTATGTATATTCATTGTAGCATATATCATATACACATATACCCTCGTAAATGATAAAGGCACTCTATGTGATGAGTTTCAAATAACTGCTGCATATTTCGTCATCAATTGAATATCAATACAATAATGTAATTGGCCATACGATGAGTCACTCTATTTGTTTCGTTTCCACTAAAATTAAGGGTTTATTAACGGGGTTATTATGTTGATTTTTATTAAATGTAGTGAATTTATATTAATATCTATTTGTTATAAAATAATTTTAACATTGTTCCGTATTTTTTTCCGTATATTTAATTGACGCATTAAATGCAAGTAAAATCAATGTTATGATGATAAGACGTCACTATTTGTTTAGCTTCATTGTTTCATTTTTTAATAGATATGCATGCATTAGGATGTCATAATGTTCGTCTTCAAAAGTATCCGTATATAAAATATGACGTCGCGCATCAGATCAAATAGAATCTGCTTAGAAGCCTCAAGTTGGACAAATTAGTCTATACTATGAAAAAATGTTATCCTTACGGACAACGAAATAATGGTAAAATGATAAAATATTAAAGCTTAGGAATATATCAGAAGTCGAGTTTTCATCGTTTAATGTGCAGAGTTACTCTTTATAAGGTTAATATTTGCGCATGTACTGATCTCATTATGTTTTGGATTAATCGTTTGTTGGACATTCTGTAATATCAACTGCCCCGTGCACCGATTTTCACTGGGAATGAACGTAAATTCATTACTGAGCTGTCCTTAAAGTTTCTACAAAATCAGTGGTATCGACGTCATTCAATGCTTTCTAGCTACACTCATTTTTCTGTAGTTCCAATGCTTTTCATCGATTTTACATTTCCCCTTCAATATTGCCATTCATTTATTGATACGAATATCAATATCATATTTATAAGTAAAACGGTGATATTCATATTTATACTTCATTAGACGAGTGTGTAGCAACTTCCGTTTACAAACGTATACATCTGACGCAACATATTTACTGATTATATATTTGAATGTGTTGTTACACCGGCAAGGAAGTTCGTAAACTGTATAATTGAACATAATCTAACAGATATTTGTTTTTAGAAACGTGCCCCTGACAGTAAATCTCAACGTCTTATATATTAAAAGTAGGTCACTGCTACCTTGTTTAAAACAACAAAAATTAGATATGACAATATTTACAAATCGTGTCATACATTTATCAATAGGATGATTTTTAACAAATATTATAGCAGACATTTATCGAAAAGATGATTTTTAACCAATAATATAGCAGACACATTATTGCTTTTGTAGACATTCAATCAGTTATCTTTATAAATCTCAGTTTATCCTCTTACATATATACATGTTTCTTATATTGCGTAAAGACCCGTATTTCGTTATTTTTTAAGTTACAATGTTAGGGATCAAATGACAGGATAATGCTTCGAAGTTCAAACTGATCGACCAGATCGAATAAATTTAATTCAGTCAGAATATGTCCGATATATCTATACAGTTACCTGTCTAAAAAGGGAACGTTGAGCCCGTCCATTGCATACCGTAAGCACAATTATAGATTACAGATTATTTCTGCTTAAAACCATTTATGTCTATTACCCTTCCTTTGTGGGAGTAAACGCTTAAATACCCGTGAGTTGGTTGTCGATCATAGATTAGAGCTGCACAGGTAAACATGTCCTAGCGATGGATATTATGTACAATGAAGTTATAATTACAGCATCCCAGTGTCATAAAAGTTTGCCACGCTTTGAATTGTATTCATTTTGTCAACAATGTTTTATGATTATGGAACCGAGACGTGGGGTATGTATTATGATTGTTCAATGTTATTCGTTTGTTTTCGAGAATGACGAAACTGTGAAATACATGAACTCATTTCTAAACATTTTCTTCAGGTTGGTAAGTATTTATTATGAACAGTTATTTTTACACAACCAATACAATTTCCTATGTGACGTTTCGAAGACTAGTACGACAAATGACCAGTGAAGCGAATGAACACAAATGTGTAAAATGTGTACGAGTTGTCCACAAAAATCGATGTTGATTCGGCTACGATGTCAGCGTATGTTCAATAGTTGTTGTATATGTACCGAAATGACTCGATTCAGCTACGCTTTGTTTAAATAGATAAATAAGCAAAGAAGGCAATCCGTCCATTGTGCAAGACAAAATGATGAACATGTATACATCACAACATATAAAACAAATAAACAGTCAAAAAGAAGCAGTACTACAACATACAATCCATAAACAAAAGAAAACAAACAAGTTGCCACCCTTTGAAATATGCTGATGTTATCGTATATTCCATTGGTTAGCTTGTAACTAAGGCTAAATTTCTTGAAAACACGACGACATGTTTCACAAACATTACCCCCCCCCCCCCC